GGACAGTTTGGATGTTCATGTCTTATCCATGTGGCATCAGTTGGGGCAGTTAGGTGGGCCTGGAGAGTCCACTTCCAAGATGGCTTCGTTGTGTCTGGTGCCTCAGTGTCCTTGGCCTCTGTCTCTCTGTCTCATGTGCCATGTCCTCTTCCAGGGCCTCTCCTTCAGGTGTTGTGGGCTTCTCCTGGAGTGATCGCCGTGGTCTCAGGATTATCACTCTTCTTACAGGGCAGCTGGCTTCCACAAGGCAGGAAGCAGAAATTGCCAGGCCATTTCAGAGCCACGCCCAGAACTGGCACAATGTCACTTCCATTGTATTGCACTGGTCAAAGCAGCCACAAGCTCTGCCTAGACTCAAGAGGAAGAGAAGTAAACTTCACTTTTGATGGAGGGGTGTCAAGGGTACATTGCAGAAAATAAAGCAGGTGCAATGGGAGATATTGTTCAAGCCATCTGGGGAAAATAGAATCTTCCGAAGGATGATAAACAGTGGCTCTGGCAAGCAATGTGGAGGTGGGAGGATTGCCATGTCAAACTTCTCAGCCAGGTATGAGAGGACAGGCACTGAAGGTTTTCCAGAGGAAGGGACCTGTAAACTGAGAGCCGAGAGATGAATGGGGATAAACCAGATCAAGGAGAGGGAAAGAAAGTTCCAGACAGGGGTACGGCAAGCCAACAAGAGGGAGCACATACATTCCAGAGCCTAAAAGAAGTTCAGCATGGTGGGAAGGGATGGGGAGTGTGCCTATTTGTGTGTGTGTGTGCGCGCGTGTGTGCATGATTGTCCTTGAGCAAGCCTGTTGAGGGTGAGGCCAGGTCAAGATATCCCAGAACTTTCTCCTGAGAGTAATGAGAAGCCATTGAGAATTTTAAGCAACTGTTACTCCATTTGCCTGTGATTTGGAGAATGCATTGGCCAGTGGTGAGCCTGAAGGCAGGAAGAGTGGGGTGGCTTTGAGAGAAGATGGACAGCGGTAGTGAAAATGGGAAGGACGGGATGGACTTAAGAGATATTAGCAGTCAAAATCCACAGGATTTCAAGGTATAAGAGTGAGAGGGGAGAGCTTGCATTTTGGGCCCAAGCAATTGGCTGAATGTTGAACTTTTTGATAAGGAATGCGGAAGCATTCTCTAAGGACTGCAAAGCACTAGACAGAGGGCCCTTGCATTTATTTTACTTGTAGGCAGTTGCAGATGTAATTATAATGATGGCAAGCAACAATACTTTATCATTCCATGGCACTTTTTTTTTTTTTTTTTGAGACAGAGTCTCACTGTGTTGCCTGGGCTAGAGTGCCATGGCATCATCCTAGCTCACAGCAACCTCAAACTCCTGGGCTCAAGCGATCCTCCTGCCTCAGCCTCCCGAGTAGCTGGGACTACAGACATGTGCCACCATGCCCGGCTAATTTTTTCTATATATTTTTAGTTGTCCAATTAATTTCTTTCTAATTTTAGTAGAGACGGGGTCTCGCTCTTGCTCAGGCTGGTTTCGAACTCCTGAGCTCAAACAATCCGCCCGACTCGGCCTCCCAGAGAGCTAGGATTACAAGCGTGAGCCACCGCGCCCGGCCTCCATGGCACTTTTAATGTTCGTGTGTATTACATCCTTTAGCCTTGAATCACTGAAGTAAGGAGAGGGGTGGGGGGGTCGAGCCCCGCTTATAGATAAAGAGCCCAGGGGAAAGTCTTTGTTCCTCTACTAACCTGTTCTTTTAGAGCTCGGGTCTCTGCAAGCTACGCCTACAGCCAAGGTGGGTAGATAGCCCACGACCTATTTTTGTACAGCCTGAGAGCTAAGAATGGTTCTTACATTTTTAAGTGGTTGAAATTAAGAAAATTAAAGAGCAATATTTTGTGACAAGTGAAAATTATGTGAATTCAAAATTACATGAATTTCATGAATTCAAATCTCAGTGTTCATGATTCAAGTTTCATTGAGATAGAACCACCCCACTCATTTATATGTTGCCTACGGCTGCTTTCTTGCCACAAGGGCAAACTGGGGCAATCTCCACAGAGAATATATGCGGCCTGCAAAGTCAAATGTATTTACAACCTGGTTCTTCACAGACACAGTTTGCTGACCTTGTTTGGGAGGTTTAGACCTTGTCTGGCTTTCTCAAAGCCAGGCCAGACGCCTACTGGTGTTTAGAGAACAGAAACTGCAGCCATGCCTGTACCTCTCATTAATAACCCTGGCAATGAATTAGACCCCCTCGCTGGCTTGTGCCCTCATTCTCCTGCGAAAACTATCCAAGGTCTGCCCGCTGTATTCCAGCAACATCCAAGCTCTTAACCAATTGTTTCCCCACTAGGGTGTGCCTTCTTCTTAGGCAGGAACAAAGATTTCTTGGCCTCTCCCCATTCTCCCCCCACTCCCCAATTCTAACTGGCAAACAGTAGGCAACTTATTTATGTGACAGACACTTGAGTAGTGCTTACAACGCGACAGGTTCATTTAATTCTCACTGCGACCCTATGAGGCTGGTACTATTATCACCACCATCCTCGTGTTACAGAGGAGGAACCGGAGGCACAGAGAGGCTGAGCCACCTGCCCCAGGTCACGCCAAGTGGTGCCAAGCTCCGCGGTTTGGGTGACAAGTAGACCCCAGTTAATGACAGGTTTCCCAGGAGGCTGAGTTGGGGCCTTTGCCCAGATCAGAGCACCTGCCTGGGCCGCGCCCCCCCCCCCCGGAACCCAGCGCGCCCCCAAATTGCTCGAGTGCGCGTCTCTTCCCGGCGGGAGGGGCGCAGAGGCCTGAGCAGCCGGGAAAGGCGGGGCGCGGGGAGCGTCGCGGCCGGCTGTAAACAGGGGCGTCACCCCGCCCGGGGCCCCCGAGACCCGGAGGCTCCCGCCTCCCGCCTCCCGAAGGCCGCCCGGTCGCGAAGCGCTGAGTCACGGTGAGGCGACGGGCCTGGCGCCCTGCAAACCTGCCCGCCCTGCGCTCGCTCTCTCGCTCAGGCCGGCTCCCGCGCGCCCCGGCAGCCGCCACAGAGGCTCCGGGCGCCGCCACCAACGCGTGAGTACCGGGGACGCGCGGGGCTGAGCTAGGTCGGAGCGTGCTGGCAATCAGTTTGCTAAGTCCTGCCTTCCCCAGCCCGCTTTAGACTCCTAGGGGAGATGACAAGAGATGCTTAAATAGTACTTTGAAATTTGGTGAAAGAGGTTGAAGTCTTTTCTTTTTGCAAAACACTGAGATCTTTAAGCACCTCATCGGTTGTTCACATGAATAGAATTTAATTGTAGGAGTCTGGAAGGGCCCAGAAATAGTCTAGATGGGGATAAAAATACCTCCTAGTTGCTTTTATATAGGTGATTACAGGCCGGTATTGCTTTGAGCATTAAGCTCATTCCTGTGCCCCACATTCCGTCACCCAATAAATGTTTATTGACTACTGTTCGAGGAGGATACATTTTAGGATAGGCCTTGACTAAGTAGAGGGTATTGATGAGTAGAGCCACTCTGAATAACAGCAGCTAACATTCCCATAGCACTAACTGCACCCCCTTGAGGTAGACATCTTATTACTCCCCTTTTACATTAGGAAAACTGAGGCACAGAGAGCCTCAGGTCACACAGCTGGTATGTGGTGAAGCTGGAATGCAAACCCAGGCTGTCTGGCTCTGCTTTTTGCTAAATCACCTGTCTTGGTTTCAGTAGGAATGGATTATATTTCACTTGAAGAAGAGATTTAGAGGATTGGGGGTACTGTCTACAAACACTTGAAATGGAAAAGGGATTGATTATATTCGTTCTGTGATAGTCCATTGGTTAGAACTGAGTCCTCCCCAAGAGGAAACACTTTTTAATAATAACTCAGGCCATAGGTCAGTCCTGAAATATGGGACGCCTTGTCAAGGGCAGCTCGTCCATGACTTGCCCGTGCTCTGCAAGACTTCACGAGATTTTATGGCCCAGAATATGGTCTAAAAAAAAAAAAGACTTGGAAAAAAAAAAAAAGACTTCATGAGAAAGCTCAAAGATTTCTTGACTGAGAAGTTGGCCCTAAACCAGGGATAGATGGGTCTTTGAATTTAGTGACTTTCAAAGATCCCTTTCAACGCCAAGATCTTCAGCAGGTTCCGGTGAGAGTCATGGACCTCTTGGTTTTTCTCCGTGTTCCCCATGGTTGCCACATAAATCCCCATCTATCAGCCTCACTGGTAGCCCCTACCTCATGGGGTGCACTGGGGAGTGTGGGGAGGTTGAGAGAGTTCAATGAGATAAAGCAGATAAATTACTCATTAGAAGTTTTTAGTTAAGTGCCCAATAGAGCTGTTACAGTCATGCCTTGATTAATGAAGGAGATATATTCTGAGGAATGCATCCATAGGCGATTTCATCATTGTGCGGACACTGAAGCATGCACTTGCACAAACCTAGATGGTAGAGCCTACCACACACCTAGGCTGTATAGTATATACAATAGGTATAGGAGCTTATTGCTCCTAGGCTACACACCTGTACAGCAGGTGACTACTGAATACTGGAAGCAATCATAACACGATGGTAAGTATTTGTGTCTCTAAACATATCTAAACCTAGAAAAAGTAAATACAGTAAATATACAGTATTGAGATACAGTAAATATACGGTATTATAATCTTATGGGACCACCGTCATATATGTGATTCATCACTGACCAAAACAGGTCGTTATGCAGTGCACGACTGTATTGCTAACTCTTGTACAAGGTGGCTATAGCATTACATTAGATAACAATTGTGAATAACTGGTGGAGTACTGGGCACCTAATAAGGACTCATACATGTTCACCATCATTAGTAGTATTTTAAATCACCTAACATAGGTCCTGTACATAGTAAGCAGTCAATAATTGGAGCTGCTACTGTTTTGGGAGTCTAATTTTAATATTTTTTATTTTGTAGTCCTTGGATGTTCCTTCTTTTATGACTTCTTTTTTATTATCCCTCCTTTTGTCCTCCATCCTCTACAGCTCAGCATCAGAACCCTCTGTTTTTAGACTTTGAACATGGGGCCCTCCAAGAAGGTTACTCTCTCCGTGCTCAGCAGGCAGCAGTCGGAAGGGGTTGGTGCGAGGGTCCGTAGAAGCATTGGCAGACCTGAGGTATGCTGGTTGGGTGGCTGCTTCTTGCTTTCTTTTCAGAAGGGACTGTTGGGACATTTACAATGACTTGAGAATAGGGGGCCAAGACAGTCATGAGCTGTCCTGTGGTGTGCCTAGGTGCAAACTCTAAATTTTGCAGTGAGGGCCCCATGCGGACCAGCCCTGGCCCAAAGGGGATTTCTGTAATGTGGATATAGAGATCCTGGGCAGAAGGTGCCCCTGAGCTTCATGAAGCATCCCTGCTTCTCGCTGCTCATCCACACCCTGCCCTGGGCTGATCTGCTATCTGCCTCCGCATGCACATCACCAAACATGCCCACCTTACAGTCCCCAAGTTTATATGCCCACACTTCAAAGCACCAGGGAGTAGCTCTGATTCCCAATTCCAAATGCCCAGGAGAGAGAATCTGATTGGCTCGGCGTGGGTCAGGTCTCCACCTCTGGCCAATCAGACATTGCCAGGGAGTTGGATTCTGGGAGAGACTGCTGGCACCCAACTCTGTAGACCCCTGATGAGGGGCAGGTGTAAATGGGGACTAGCTTTCAGAGAAGATGATTATAGGTTAGGTAGATGTCTTTCAACATTAGAGAATGTTTTCATTTGAATAACATGGGAAACTTGGGATTTGCAGGGAAAAAAATCTTATGTACACAGAAAGGTATCAGATGGTGGTCATAACCCAAAGAATATAGCCCCCAGCGCCATAACAGATTGCAAAAAAATTTTTTTGAATAAAGCAAGAAATACATTAGGGAAATGAATTCCATTTTGAAAAATGAGGCTGGTTTGTCCTTCTTTTTAAACTCTACTTTGTTATTTTCATACTACTTTGTTGCTAGACCTAAGTTTTATATCACCCATTACATAATGGTTACTTTCTCTACTTTTTCATCTTTGAAAGATGCTTGTAGGATTTTAAAAAATTCATGGCTTTCCTTAGCGAGTGCTGACTTACATTGTTGATGGATTCAATGTTTTTAAAAAAATTTTTTTGTTTTAAATTGACAAATAAAAATACATGTATTTATGGTGTACAAGATGATGTTTTGATATCTATATGTTGTGAAATGGCTAAATCAAGCTACTGAACATATACATTACCTCACATACTTATTTTTTTTGTGGAGAGGACACTTAAAATCTCTCTTAGTAAGATGGGCGTGGTGGCTCACGCCTGTAATCCTAGCACTCTCGGAGGCCAAGGCAGGAGGATTGTTTGAGATTAGGAGTTTGAGATCAGCCTGAGCAAGAGCGAGACCCTGTCTCTACTAAAAATAGAAAAAATTAGCGGGCGTGGTGGTGCATGCCTGTAGTCCCAGCTACTCTGAATGGTAAGGCAAGAGGATCACTTGAGCCCAGGAGTTTGAGGTTGCCATGAGCTATGATGATGCCACTGCACTCTACCCAAGGCAACAGAGTGAGACTTTGTCTCAAAAAAAAAAGAAGAAAAATTCTCTTACTAAATTTCAAGTATACAATACATTGTTATATGTTGTTGTCACCATGTTGTGCAATAGATCTCTTGAACTTATTCCTCCTGTGTAACTAAAACTTTGTATCCTTTGACCAACATCTCTCCACCCTGCCTCCCATTCCTTGGTAACCACAATTCTATTCTATGCTTTTATGAGTTCAGTTTTTTTAGATTCCACATGTAAGTGAGATCATGCAGTATTTGTCTCCCTGTGCCTGGCTTATTTCATCTAGCATAAAGTGGATTGGCCACTGAGGCAGGGGGAGAACTGTCAACCCAACTCTCCATCAGCCCCATCAAGCTTCCCCGTCTGTGCCTTTGTGGTTTCTCTTTCCAACAATGGCTTCCTGTTTATCCCCAAATGTCTTTTGAGGCTCATCAAACATTGTTTTCTGAAGGATACACACAAACAGGATTATTCTAAGGGCTAAAAGCACAGGGGATGTTGGGGAGATGCAGATGGAGGTGGTGTCATATTCTACTAGGTTACATCACCAGCAGAACAATTGGAAAGAATTCTGGGACCCTGGAGACACCTGTCAGTAAACCATTGTTAAATGTTGAGGATAGCTAATACTTTAATTCGTCCATCTGTCAGGAACACATGTGAGAATTTCTTAATTGTTTTTGTCCTGTGAACCCTTTTGGCAGTCTAGTGAAACCTACCAATTGCTTTTCACAACGATGTTTTAAAATACATAAAATAAAATATATAGGATTACCAAGGGAAACTTTTATACTGAAATATTGTTAACAAAGTTAGAAAAAACAATTTCATAATGTAGTAATTTTACATTAAATAACAAGATTTGGTGGCAGTTCTGATAACTCCCCGATTTCAAAGCTGTGAGGAGTGTGAATGATATTTCAATGTGCCTACTCACAACTGTAATATCATGTGAAAATGGGTTTAATTTCTGTTGGTGACAAAGTCACAGGTACTAGGAATTTACTGTGGTTCATTGACTACATTCATAATTGAAGAAAATGTTCAATTTCAGTCTGGAGATGGTGATGATGGCTGTACAACAATGTGTATTTAATGCCGCAGAATTGAACACTTAAAAGGGTTAAAATTCTGCATTTTATGTTATGTATATTTTACCACAATAAAAAAAAATCCAGAAAAAAATTGAGTAGAGGTTAGTGAGAATAAAGATGTAATTTTTTTCCGGTATAAGTTTACAGTCCCCCTAAATTCTATCCATAGACCAAGATAAGAGTCCTTGGCTTGAAATCGGTGCTTTAAAGACCTTCATATTCCACTGATTCAGTTTTCCCATGTCCCACATATGACTCTACCCTAAGGAAAAATAAATGGATAGGAATCATTCCTAATCCCATCAACCTGGTTTTATTACTATTAAGGCAAAAGGTGTTTCCATTTAATTGTATATTTTACATCATGAGGATTATATAAGCAATTTTCTGTCTAATTTTTTCATTTAACATGGTAGCAGAAGGGCTTCCCATGATATTAAACGTCATTCAGCTAGCTATGCCATATTCCATTGTATGTGCATATAATTATTCTCTTACTCATGACCCAGTTTTTAACCATTTAGTTTGTTGCCATGTTTTTTCACACTCTGCATGTTACCAACTTGCCAGAAAGTAGGCCCCTAACCCTCCCATCAGCAAAGAATGAAACCATCTAACGTCAAGGAGGTTACTTTTCAAACTCTCTGCACCAAGGCTTATGTCTCTGAAGAAATATAAACTTTGGACCCCAAAGCCATTTTAGCTTAGAATGTACAACCGTGCTCAGTATTAGTGGTTACAAGTGATTTGTTTCCTATGATTGCAAATGTGGGCACTAGACCATGTGCTCTGGGTTCATTGTTTCAAATCCTTACAATCTTGAAAGGTATGTATATTATCCCGTGAGAAGAAAAAATGTATAATAAGACATGAGAATCCTCAGCCTCTCCTCCTACCAACCCCAGTTCGGTTCCTGGGCTTTTAATGAGCCGACATGGAGTAATGAATGATGGGACAAAATTGAACGCAAACAAGATCTGCTTGGTTGATTTTCACTAGAAAGGGCAGAGAGTTACTGGTAGAAGAGAAAAGAGTAAATCCAGAAGGTGAGAGGGGAGGAGGAGAAAAAGAAAGTGCTGTCTCCAGATGCTGTGAGGTGATTTGAAGAGTTAGAGCGAGAGAAGATGGAATTATGGGAGACAGATATGGAGAGGGCTAAGGGGGATTTTAAACAGATCTTTAAATCAAAGCCCTTTTTGGTATTTTTGAAAGAATTCAATAGAGAATTTAAATTTATTTTCAATTACTTTTTAATGTTGGACTGGATGAAACACTGGGCTGAGATGGGCTACAAAGTGGCCTAGCTTTATATGGGTTGCAGACCACATTGTAAAATGAAGAAACCGAGACTTGGTTAGGTTAAAAAACTTGCAGTGTTATGTTAAGTTTATATATGTATATATGGATGTGTATGTAATATATGTTATGCATGTGTGTTTGCATGTGTATATGGTTTTCTCCATAGAAAGTGAAAACAGGAGAGACAAAACCAGAAACCAAGGCAAAGAGTTTTGTACTTTCATTTCTAGTAATATGACAGAACATATATCCTGAAATAAAAGACTTTAAAAAATTAATTAGCTGAGCTGACAAGAGGTTAGTGAAACAGAGTCCAAAAACAATAAGAAACAATAAGAAATGGAAAATCTGAAGAGT